CCCCCCCCCCCCCCCCCCCCCCGCCAAGGCATGGACATCCTTCCGGAAATGCCAAGGATCAAATCTCGACGGGATTTAAAGGAGACGATAGCTCGGGTGGTTTGTGTCACGTTACTGAGGCTGGCATTGTTCCTCGGATGGCCTAGGCTCTCGTTTTGCTTTCACAAATCAAAATTGAAAATTCGGAAATTTGGGAGGGACATTAAAACAAGGATGATACGCCCTCCGTGTGGCTCCAGTAACATCCTGTCGGATTAGACTTTGTGGAATGTTAGCACATAAATCAAACCATTTGTGGGATGTATTTATCAGACTAAGAGAACACGTCCACTGCTGGTCAGCTAATGGCCTCTGGTTTCCCATTGAGTTGAATGCGGACTTTTACGTGATTCTGCTTGAAATCCCTTCATGCAGTTCAGTGTCTTCTCCAATGGTATTTCTGTCTTAATTTCTTCACTGAGGGTTGCATGGCCTTTGCAGTCCATTCTCCCAACACTGAAACTACAGATACTGTCAAATACTCTGAGTGGGTTGGCCCCATCAATAGTGAAGAATAAAATAATCCAAAACTGCACAGTTTATACGCCCAGCATCTGAAAGTGATGGATGGACATACAAGTTTGACTTGGTCAGTACCACCATATGTGTCGTGTTTGGTGATAATACTGTATTAGGACTCCTTTCACTCGAAAGGGCATGAGTAATGGAGTACAATGTTGAACATTTCCAGTGGTACTTGGATTCTGTATGAGTTAAGGGATTGCACTGTGACTCAGTGGTTAGCACTGCTGCCTCACAGCACCAGGGACACGTGTTCAATTCCAGCCTCGGGCAACTGTCTGTGTGGAGTTTGCACTTTCTCCCCGTGTCTGTGCAGGGTTAGGTGGATCGGCCATGCGAAATTGCTGCACAATGTCCAGGCTGGGCGGATTAACAGTGGGAAATGTGGGGTTATGGGGATAGAGATGATGGGTGGTTCTGGGTCAGAGGGTCGCTGAGGATTCGATGGGCCAAATGGCGTGCTTCCACGCAGTAGGGTTTCTATGATTCTGTAGAGACCAAAAACGGAAAGTGCTGGAGTAATTTGGCAGCATCTCTGGAGAGAGAAACAGAGTGAATGTTTTAAGTGCAATATGACCCGTCTTCAGTTCTGAAATCACACTGGACCCGAAACATTAACCCTATTTCTCTCTCCACAGATGATGCCAGACCTGCTGAGTTTCTCCAGTGTTTTCTGTTTGTTTCAGATTTCCAGCATCTGCAGTGTTTTCCTTTTACGTGGCTTTTCTATTCGGAATCGGTGTTCTGCTTCTCTCAGAATGAAAAATTTGAATGCGTCAACCCCTGGTGCCCCTCTTTCTGTTGAATGTTATTAATGTAGAGAGCTGGTGTGAGCATAGATGGGTCAGTCGAATGCAGTTTGGGCATCTCTCTGTTTCGGTTTCCACCGTAGAGAGACTGTGTGTTGACTTGAGTTTGGTGAGCGTACAGGGGCAGGTGAATGGAGAATGCACCCTGCTCCAGCCCAGAATTTAGAGTCTTCGCAACGGAGCGCGGAGAGGATGGCAGGGTGGAAAGTGACGGCACTGTGTCCACTGGCTGAGGGAGAGAAGGCAAAGTGAGGCAGGAGCTACTCAAGGGCCATAATTGGCTGAGGCGATGTAATTATCCTTTATCCAAGTGGCCTATTAATCTCCAGGCCCATGCTCTGGGAAACCAAGTCACTGATGGAATTTAAATTCCATGAATAAAGCCAGAAAATAAAATCCAGTCTTGACAGTGGTTGTGTGAAACTGCCATTGATTGCTTGTCGTACAAAACCATCTG